CGCTTTGCGACGAGTGACTGGTTTGGCTTGTCTTTGCCACAAATAGTAAAATTTTTCATGAGACTCCAAAATGTGATGAGGGAGGGGACTATGAAAAATGTGAATTATCAATTGTTTGCAGTGCAATAGAAAATGCTTTAGTATGTTTTATGTAAAACCATTTGGTCTACCATTTTAAAAGTGCGACAACAAAATATCCTGGGTTTGAATAAAGTTAAAAGGAAAAAAAAATCTATCAGTGAGCATTTATTTTTGTCACAGGTACCTAAAAGATACAACCAATTTGAGGCCCTACATAAAGCATTAGGAGAAAAATATCCAGCCACTGTCTTGCCGGTTCTCCCAAAAAAATTACTTATGTTGAAGGATAGCACATTGTCAGAGAGACGCAACGCATTTGACAAATTGATGAAGGCAATCGCCGTAAACCCAAAGATTTGTTTCAGTAGCATTGTACTTGCATTTCTTGGTAAGTCTTATAATCTTCTCATCGCATTTGTTATTATTAAAGCTGTATCCGTGGGATTTAAAGATTTTCCTTACTTGCAACATAGAATATTTTTTCATTAGGAAGTAACTAGTCTAGTCATGACTCATCATACACATGTTATATAATAATTACGTTTAACATCGGTAATACAATTTTATAGAGAAATACATCTTTTTATTACAAGTGATAATGTACCCTATCAGAAAATATTTTTTATACTGTATTTTTGTAGCATTTGATATGTTTAGTACACATTTTTTTAAATGGTTAAGTAATTGTATAAAGTACAATATGTTCATTTGAACTACTCTTTTTTGTATTCAATGAAAAATGTATACAGTGTAAGATGTTTTTGTTCAAGAAAATGATTGTTCTTATTGAAGAAACTGATCAATGTAGTATAATTGAACACTGGCAAGGGCCATTCTGGTTTAGTATGAAAGCAGAATGCTCCCTTGATAACTGGTTATACCAAAGAGTATAATAGAACAAGAGAGCATACTCCCATTTGTAATATGTCACTCCCTTAATTACCATTTCGACATGTATGAGCATAGGAAGTGTGCCTGTTTCGATTGTATGATGATAAAGAAAAATAAAGAAATCTACCACCCTGAACAAAAGTACAGTATCATGTGGAAATCAGATAAACAAACAAACAATCCATGTGCAGTGCAGTACTACATAATCCAACAGCAGCGGGCGTCATCCACTGGCTGCGTATTGTGTATCGTTTGTTTATGCTCTTCATCCTCTCATGTTCTACAGTATTTCTATACTTTCAGGCCTCACAAAGGAACAAATAAAGAAGGCTGAAGTACCATGTGCTCAGAAATCAGAAGAAATTGATGGCGACAACAAAAACAAATTGACCAAGGAACCAAATGATAGGTAAGCAATACTTGATAAACCCAAGGATGTAAATCTCAATATTTAATTGGAGAGAAGTGTATTTGGCATGACCTCTTAATAGTTTTAAGAAATTGTAGCTATTGTACTTTAAATGTGTAATTGAACAAGAAAGGAAAAAATAAAATTTAAAATATATTTTAAAGAATATCTATTTCTGAAATTGTTTTAATTTAATTTTTTTTTTTCAATTTAAATATTTTGAGTGTGTACAAAATGTCATACAGTGTTAAATTCTTACTTCTACTTGGCAAAACAGAAAGACTTTCATTTTTCCTATGCAGTTTCCATGTTATGAAGAAGACTTTTTAAAACTGAAGTAGTTTGATACTAGAGTTGGAATACTTTTATGTGGTCTGATAAATTATGCAGTGTCGTAGATAGGCTAACATACACTTATAGCTTACTGCTGATTAGGTAATTCTTTCCTGAATAGTGTCTTCACTTATTTGAGTTGTTAATGAATTTTTGGACTTTATGCGAAAGGTGTTCCTGATTCAGGTAAATGAAGGGTTTTAGGACTTCTTGTAGGTTACTTCAATTTGGATTTTAGAGAGGGGAAGAATGGCAGAGCCAACTTGTAATATTAACTTGATTTAAAGACATAATAACTGTACATTGTTTTATCAATGTTATTAGAAGCCAACTCGAAGAAGTAAACCTTTTTGCAGACGTCGAAGATCAAGATGATGATCTTGAACTGTTTGGGAGTGAAAAAGCTACAAGTATGAGCAGTAAAGTCAACAACACTAGAAATGAGGATGAGCCACCAAAACAGGATGATCTCATTGCCTTGATGCGAGAAGCTGACCCAAAACCGGAGAAACCAAAAATAAAAGGTAAGTTTATCTTCAGGCCTCTATGCTCTACATTAAGCCAAACTGAGCCTTGGTTTATTTAGCCTAGGCACTCAATAGTAATGGTGAGCTCTGTCGTCAAGCATGAAACAAGTCTAGAGAGTTGGTCATAAGAGAAGGTAGGAAAATATCAGAAGAGCTATACTTCTTAATAGTTACAGTAGTAACTTTTCTGTCATGTGGATCCAGTATTTAAGAAGTATGATAGTTGCACTCAAGCACATATGTAGAATTAGAATAGAAGTACTATAGAGGCAATTTCCATAATCATTGTACTAAATTGTTTGTATGTTTAAATTAGTTATATTTCATCCTAGGCCTAAAACCAAAATACATATTCTGATAGTTTTGGCATGGAAACATGTACTTTGTATGTGTTATTTACATTTTATAATTTGTTTTATCTTGAAAGAAGACAGGTACAAATTGAATGTGTAATTTATTGAAAATCTACCCTTTGATATATTTCTAATGAATATTTTTTATATATCTTAGTTATATTTCATCCTAGGCCTAAACCCAAAATACATATTCTGATAGTTTTGGCATGGAAACATGTACTTTGTATGTGTTATTTACATTTTATAATTTGTTTTATCTTGAAAGAAGACAGGTACAAATTGAATGTGTAATTTATTGAAAATCTACCCTTTGATATATTTCTAATGAATATTTTTTATATATTATTGGACCTGTGTTGTTTTAATCATATGTGTCATTTGAGCAATTCAGTTATGTGTACTTGTTTCTAACCACTATAACGTGAAACTTTAATCAGTACCTTTAGATTACAATAAAGATTTATTGTATCGTTTGATAATTTTGGGAATAAATAACGATTTGCTTATGGATATTTTCAAGTTTATGTAACTTAAAATTTCTTCTTTTCTTTTTTTTAACTTTTACTATTATTGAGACTTCAGGAGCTACTTCAAGTGAAAATTATATATTATTATTATCAATTTACCTAACTGTTCTCCATGTGTTTATAGCATGCTATACAATGCAGATTTCATAGTACACTGTTTTTGATTTTTTTCAAATACAATTTTTTTAGTTTAGCCTATAACAAACATTGCACTGGGCAGTCAAGTAAAGATTTTGGAACCTCAGTTTTCAAGTAAACACTGATAACAATATATTTGTAACAAACTTCATTGATGTCTGATAGTATTTACTACATTACCAAAGAATTACCATTAGGCAAAAGAATCGACTGGCTCTGTGTAAGATTAGAGGGAGTTCCTAATTATTTTACAAAAGGTTGATGTAAGTTGTTTCAGACTTCTCCAGATCATGCACATTTGATCCAGATTAGACCTGGGAATATTTTACTTTTGTTAGAGAGCTTGTTAGATCAGGTTGCACTTGATTTGCCCAAGGTTGTTTCAGGTTGTACCCAGTTTCCAGAAGTTGCTCAAGATACTTTCCAAGTTGTTCCAGATTGCAAAATGTTGATCCGGGTATCTCAACATCACAAAAGTTTTTTCATCAAATTGCCTAGCCACCTTACACAGAATGTCTGCAAGATTTTTCCGAGATTCTGATTGCACCAGGCAGTGCAATTTATTTCTCAAAATTGCATAAAGTTTTTTCAGCCAGTGTCACCAGGTAGCAATCTGTTACTCAAGATTACCAAGTTGTTTCATCATTGCACCAGGCTGCACTAGTCTACACAAAGCAATACCAGATTGTTCCAGATTACACCAGATTGCACTAAATTGATCAAGATGAAACCAATCTAGATTTTACTGAAGTTCATATTTATAACCACTTTTTTACTCTCGCTATGATACATGCAATTACTATATTCCAGATTCTACCAGTTTGCACCAGTTACAAGTAAGTATTAACTATTTGTTGCTTAATTTGATCAATTATATTTCATTAATGTAAGAAAAATGATGGAATAATGTTCCTAGATCGAACTAATTGCTTTTTGGTATTTTGATATTTGTGGCTTCACTGTATCTTCCTATAAATTTATGATTATTAATAGTATAGTGTAAGCCGAATGTTTAGAGGCTTTTAGCGTTCACAGATATTTGGAGTCAGTAAACAATCATGATATGGAGTGACTACTGAATCTATTTGTCCTTTTGCAAACACTGTTCTTGATTGCCAAATAATTTCTAACTAAATTTTCTTTTCCTACTTAATCAGTATTATGCATACCCACACTATATCCTGCTATCTTGCATATTGGATGTGAAGAAATATCAAATAAATTTCATATAGTATCTTATGCAAAAATAATTGATTTGTATTTTAGTTAGATTTCAATCAGAGGAAAACATCTGATACTGCTAATTGATTGAAGATATTTGACAGAAGCCCCTCATATAGGAGTTTACACCCTTGTCTCCTCAGGGAAACCACTTGCAAACTACTTGACCTAGAAGGTAAATGGAGAATTTTGTAGCAAATGCATATTTATCATTTAATTTATATCCTTGATTAACAATAATTAGCTAGAATGATAATCATTTATTTGAAATGTAATGAGAAAAAAGAAAAAATAAATTTTCCACTTTGTGTTAAACATGGGATACTTCGCATACATGGCAAACATCATTACCTCTTGAATCCAAGTGCTAGATTTGTACTGTAATTTGTTTACATATATTCATGTGTACAGTAAGACAAAATGAATTTTTCTTATTAACAATTTAACATAGTTATTTTAAATGGCCCTTGACAATACAACTGATTAAGAAAGATATAGGCTATTTGTTCCAAATGTCAGTGACTGTTGAATCCAAGTGCCTAGACGTGTACTGTAATTTGTTTACATTATATTCATATGTACAGTAAAACAAAATGAATTTTTCTTACTCATTAAAAATTTAACATAGTTAATATTTTAAATGGCCCTTGACAATACAACTCATTAAGAAAGATATAGGCTATTTGTTCCAAATGTCAGTGACTGTTATTGACATATAAAATATTGCAAGTTGATATTCTTATATGTAGGCCAACCTGCCAACTGGGAGGGACCGGTTACAGTAAATGTTAATTAATTATTGTTAAGCAGATCTGTTAATTAAGGTATCGCACTATTTGTGAGTTCTGAGTTCTACATTTTGACATGTTGGTATTTGTTAGTGTTTCTGAGAACCATATCATGTTCTTTTTCATTGAACTTAACCAGTTGGCATATCTAACAAATTTAGAGAACAAAGATCAATACGTCTATTATTAAGGGACGTGATTCTAGCAATTGACTATGCTACAACATAGGTTGTGTAGTCACTCCCTAAGATAATTCGTAGAATATGCTTTTGTACCCGCTCAAACTGGTTGGACTAGAATTTATTTATACCACTGTGCCAGACTCTTGTCGGCGTATTATAAGATTCCATAGTGGTACTAATTCGTTGCCCTGTGCCATGTAAACTGGATACATGTAGCCTGAGTAAAGATCAGAGACAGGCAGTTTAATCTTGAGTTTTAATCTAGAGGTTTACTGTAACACCAGGGCCTTGATTGAGATTCTGATATATAAATTGTCCTGTGCTGATGTTGAAGTAATAATGTACAAATAACACAATTTTAAAATTTAGCTTATTTCAAAAGTTTATATTGCAATATAGACGGATAAACCATTATGGGCTTGTCACACCTTGATGATTTAGCCAGCGTATGCCTATGTATGGAAAATTTGGCGAATATGCTAGCGTACGTCAAATAAGTTATCGGTAAGTTTCGTATGAGTTAAGAACACGCAGAAGAACGCTGGTATACTCCGTAGTATGGCGAGTGCGTCAAAGCATTTTGTGTATGCACCCAATTTTTCGACTTATGCCAGCATATAGCGCATACGTTCCGCATACATAAGTTGTAGTTAAGTTATGCGATCGTTGTCACACATTCACACACATTACTTGTAAGTTACTTAAAAGTCAAAATATGTCAAGATAATGTCTAGCGTACCCAAAACCTATTTCTAACCTATGAATAACATTCTTTGAATCGATATGTAACTTATATCAAACTTATGTCCAACGCATATTGACGTATGTAGACATATTTGATATGTTCTGAATGACCACAGAACTTATTAAACATTTTTCTAACTTACAGTTACCGTATAATGGCATATCGGCAGTGTTTCGGGGAATTGGTATATAAAAATGGGGGGATATTGATATGGTGATGTTGATATTCGACAGTGATGTTGATACTGTGATGTCTAGTGGGTTATGATTTGAATCAACGAGCAGCAGCCTTTTTATAAGCTACATCACGTGATCATCAGTGATATGCTGCCATGCACCGTGCATAAGGTAGACTATTGTTGGGCATAAGTTGTGAACGCCGGCAACACTCTAAGCATTTGTTGTTTTCTATAAGTTATTGAAAAGTTGCTATTATGTTATGTATACGTCCAACTTGTTATGAATACGCAATGTATGCGCTCAAAAAAAAAAAACATTGATAGTTCAGCATATGCCAGTGTTTTAGAGAAATTTCGATACTAAGTCGTCAAGGTGTGACTTAGTATCTGATGTGTGACACAAAACATATAAACATTTTTTTTTTGCCTCCATTTAAAAATCACAAACCAGAGCACCCTCTATGTTATTCTTTTTAAAATTGTAGTGGTGGAGAATAAAGTCGTCGGTATATCTTCCTTCAAAGAAAATTATATGGCCTATATTCACATTTTAATGACATTCACTTCATTATTATGAATTTTAGGGTATAATCGGCCTATACATATTATACGTAGGTGTGATTCGTAAAAAGTGCATTATGCGTGAAAGTTGGCAGGTGTACAGTCGCTTTTGACTTTTTTTTGTTAAAGCAGAATGCGCTTTTTAGTTCGCATGTTCGCAATTTTAATTATTCCTTAAAACCATTTCGTAATATGCTCACTATTGATTTTATACAATTAGCTTATTACGTTTTTATAATTTAGGTCACTTTCCAGATATTGCCCTGTTGATGGCAAGGCATGATGAATGTAGTAGGGTGATTTATACTAAAGGGAAAAACTTTTGACTTTGGAAATTACTCATAATATATAGAGTTCACATTCCAGTCTATATATATGTTCAATTATAATTATACCTAAAGACTGTATTTTTTTGCCTTTTGAATATAAGGCTCACCATTTATTTTTTTGGATATTAGTCTTGCACATTTTAGTAATTTATTGCACCTTGTTGAAAGGTCACTTCCTCATGATAGTGGCATAGGGAATGATTAATGTATTGTAAAGTGTGATTAACCAGGTAAGATAGAGAGAAATATTCTTGATTATCTCTTTTGAAACCCACTTTCTAGATACAATGTATGTGAAGTTTTCGCTATTGACACTTAATAGAGATAAGAAACGATGATAACAATGATATTTAAACATAAATAGGATGAATATAAATACAATCCATTTATAAATACAGGTTGTTTTAAGCAAAAATATTTTCTTTATAGGTTTCTTTGTCACACTTGTCCTAATTATAATGTCTCTCTTGTTTATCTTGAAAATTTATAATTGTTTTTGACATGGTATTTTTATAGAAGTCTTTGAATTCTGTTTATGATTGTTCTGTGTTTAATTTAAATGTTCCAAATCATACTTGCTGTAAGTGTTTGCTCTATGTTCCATATGATCATGTTTATTGCAGCACAAAACAGTATTTTTCAATGATTACCCAATAAATTTAATAGTTTGCTTGTTACTCATTTAGGTATTGATCTCTTTTACAATAATTTTAAAAGTCAAATTGTTAAATCTATTTAAATGTTTTTAAGTTTATTTCAATTTTTAAAATTACTGTTTAAATCATCACATGTATTTTATTATGTTTAGGTTCAACCAGTTAGTGGCGGTTTTAATCGCTGTTGGTTTCGAACTAAATAAAATAAATTAAAACATTTGACACTTAATAGAGATAAGAAACAATGATAACAATAATATACATAAATACGATATATTTATAGTTAGTTACAATCTATTTATACATACCGTACTAGCGAATAAACGCCCCATTTGAATAAGCGCCTCTCTCGATAACCGCCCCTCCTAACGTGAAAATTTTCTTAAGTGCCCTGTTTGAATAAGCGCCCCCTTCTAATTTCAATAAGCGCCCCCTCAATAATATCGTAATATTTTCTTTTTAGCAAGTTAATAATCCAATCAATCCTGGGACTGTGGTTGTTGGCATGATTTGAGC